GAACTCAGGCCCTTGTGCTTGACAGGCAAGTGCTTATTCTACTGAGCCATCTCCCCGGCCCCTACAGGAGTCACTTTTATCCTATGGTATTAGCCTTCTGTCTCTATAACAAGATACCTGAAAAAAAAATCAACCTAAGAAGAAGAGACTTACTTTGGCTCAGAGGTTCCGGTCCACGATTTTTTGGTCCTGTTGCTTAGGGGTTTTGGGGAGGCAGGTCATAGTGGGGAGCAGGGGGCATTCAGTGGGCAAAGCTGCTCACCTCACAGTGGCCAGGAGGAGTGGGGGGAGGGGGAGGGAGAGACAGAGAGAAAGAGGAGGGGGGAGAGAGAGAGAGAGACAGAGAGACAGAGACAGACAGAGACAGACAGAGACAGAGACAGAGACAGAGATAAAGACAGAAGAGCCAAAGACAAACTATACCTCCCTAGGACATTCATTCCCACAATGCCCAGCTTCCCAAAGTTCGTACCTTCTCCCTCCCTCTCTCCTCTTCCTTCCTTTTCTTTTCTTTTCCTTTTTTTCTCTTTTTGAGTTAGGGTCTTGCTATGCAATTCACCTATTATGGTGTGGACCTCAGATGTTTCCAGGGGTCATATGTTGAAAATCTGTTCTGCACCCCTCTCCTACCTTTCTGGCACACGTTAGTGTCATTTGGCTGCAGACTCATCCCCCTGATCTTTGCCTTTGTGTTCACATGGTGTTCTGTTTTGGTTTTTTGAGACATGGTTTCTCTATTTTGTTTAGACTGGCCATGGACTCACTATATAGCCCGGGCTGGCCTTGAAATCCTCCTGCCTCAGCTTCCTGAGTGTCGGGACCACACTCAGGTACACATGGCTTACCTGGTGTTTTTACTGTGTGCATGTTTGTGTTCATACTTCCCCTTTAATTTTTTACTTAACTTCATTAACTAATTAACTTTAATTGTTTTGGCACTGGGGATCAAACTCAGGACCTAATGCTTGCCAGGTAGGCACTTATGCCACTGAGCCATCTCCCCAGCCCAACACACACTCTCCCTTTTAGAAGAACACCAGTCATATTGGATTGGGGTTCATCCTAAAGGCCTCATTTTAACTGAATTAAGTCTGTGAAATCTCTGTCTCTAGAAATCACTTTCTAAAGCACCAGCCAGATAGCTCAGGGGACTAAAGCACCTGCTTAGCCAGACACAGGGACTGGGGTTCGATCCCTGGCATAGGCCTGCTCCTGGGGTGCGCTGAGATGGGATTGAGACTGGATGTGGTAGTGCCCACCTGTAATCCCAGCGCTGGGGAGCCTGAAAATAGGAGAATGACTATGAGCCCAATCTGTGTAGTGAGACCTTGTAGACCCTGTAGACCCTGTACCAAATACATAAGAATCACTTTCTGAAGCACTGAGTTAGGACTCTAGGAGTTTTGGGGGGACACTTCAACTCACAGTGCCGAATTTATAACAATTTCCTCAGTGTCCTTCCAGGTTCCATGGGAGGCACTTGTAGCTTTTGTAGGAGAAGCTAGGTGAAAGAGGTGAGAGAGGGGATGGCTGGATGGGCAGAGAATAGTCATTAACCTGGGGACTATGAAGGAAAGTCATCAAGAAAGACTGTGCCAGATTGTGTGCACCAGGATGGGCCTGAGGGTGCTAGGACATAGTGAGGCAGGGGACGAGGTCAAGCAGACTGCCTGGGGAAGCTGGCATGATCTGTCCATTACAAAGTCCAAGGACACATGCACAGGGTGGCTCCTAATGCCCTGTGCTTGCTGGCCTTCAGTTCTTCAGCGAGTGCTGTCTTTGGTTCTTTTCAGGAGAGCTTGAACAAGTTTTTTGTAGCCTGGCTTAGACCTAATGCCAACCTGAGGAGTAGGAGCTACAAAAGACAGTATTAAGCTCTGGACCACTGTGTTGTCTCTGTTGTTGTTGCTGTTGTTGTTGTTATTATTATTATTTTGAGACAGTTTTCACTATATAATTCACACTCATCTTGAACTCACTAGGTAACCCAGGCTGGCCTTAAACTCATGGCAATCTTTCTGCCTCAGTCTCCCAAGACTGGGCTGGGGAGATAGCTCAATGGAATAAGTGCTTGCCTGGCAAGTGCAAGGTCCTGAGTTTGATCCCCAGTACCACCAAAAATAAAATAAAATAAATTGACACTCAGTCTCCCAAGACTGAGGAATTATAGGCATGTACCACCATGCCTGGCCCACCATGTTCTCCCTTGCATAGTAGTTTGTTTTCATATTTTTTATTTTTTTCTGTATTTTAGGGAAGGGTCTACAAGGTGTTCAGGGTCTCACTACTAGATTGGACTTGTAGTGATTCTCCTGTTTACAGCCTTCCAAGTGCTGGGATTACAGGCATGTGCCGCCATGCCCAGTTTCAACTGCTGTCCCAGAGTGCCCCGGGGGTGGAGCCTGGCACAGCAGGCCTGGGGATTGAACCCCTGGCCCCTGTGTCTGCTTGTAGGTGCTTTAATCTGCTGAGCTATTTGGCTGGCTTTGGTTTGCTCTAATAGAGTGTACATTTTCCTACTTGTATTTGGGTCAAATTTACTCTGCAGAGCATGAAGTCTTTTTTTTTTCTTTTGTACAGTGGCTTGAACTCAGGACCTTGTTCTTGCTGGCACATGGCCTTTTTTTTTTTTTTTAAATTTATTTATTTTTTTGTGTGTGTGTGTGTGTGTGTGTGTGTGTGTGTGTGTGTCCAGCTCAGCCCACCAGGGGACGGGGCTGGCTGGCATGTGGTGCTGGGGGATTGAACCGCGGTCCCTGTGCTTTGTTAAGCTTGTTCTAAGTAGGTGCTTTAGACCACTGAGCCATCTCACCAGCCCCCACATGGCCTTTTAATGAAAATCTTGCTACTTTTTGCACTCTTCTTGGACAATTCCTTGTTCAAGATGCAATGAAGGGGCCGGGGAGATGGCTCAGTAGGATAAGCGCTTAACTGGCAAACACAAGGATCTGAGTTCAATCCCTGGTTCTGGAAAAAAAAAAAAAAAAAAAAAAAAAGATGCAATGCATCTGGGAACTACTTCGTCAAGGAGAATGAAGAACTCCACGCCCCAGGTATAGTCAGGATTAGCAGTCAGGCAGAAAGATGAATTGAGCTGGAAGACAACAATGAAGAAATAGAATCCAAGAGCAATGGGAACCCGTGAAAACAGAGGGCACTCATGGCTTTCTTAACGATCAACTTGTGATCTGGAGCATTGATTAATGCCTTCTGTGTGGCTAAGGAGAAAAGAGGGCTTTGCCAATACATTAGGTGCTTCAGATCACTAGAGGAGTGTCATCTAGTGGTTAAGCTGCGCCTTGAGGAGCAGGAGCCTTTGTCAGCACGAGAGTAAGCTGAGTTAACGGAGAAATTAGAGGTCAAATCATGTTCTTGCTGGTGACAGACTTGGCCTGGATTGGGGAACACAGCGGAGACTGGATTCGGGCAGGCGGGAAGAGTCCTTTGGCCTCTGCCCCTTCCTTTCTGGTGGCCCAACCTTTCTTCTGAGCTAGCAGGTTCCCCTTGATCTCAGATTCATCAATATAGCCCTGTTTTTCAGCTTTCTGAATCATCCTTTCTTTGTAAATTAAAAATAAAAGATAAAAAAATTGAGGTAGGGTCCCTAAATTGCCCGGGTTAGGCTCTAATTTGCAATCTTCCAGCCTCAGCCTCCCAGAGACCTGGAGAAACAGTCGTGTGCCACCTGGCTGGCCAAGGAAGCACTTTTTTTTTTTTTTTTTTTGGCGGATCTGGGGATTGCACTCAGGCCCTTGCACTTGCCAGGGAAGCGCTTATTCCACTGAGCCGTCTCCCCAGCCCTTCGGAAGCACTTTTAAAAAGGAAAACAGAATCACAGTTAACTGATAATCACCGCCTTTCAAAACTTTTTGGGGGGGCTGGTGAGATAGTTCAGTGGTCTAAAGTGCCTGCTTAGACAGCTGCAGGGTCCATGGTTCAATCCCCGGCACCACATACCCTGCCAGCCCCGCTCCCAGGGCAGGCTGAGCTGGCCACAAAACAAACAAACAAAACCCCCATCACTTTGGACTGGGGAGATGGCTCAATGGAATAAGCGCTTCTCTGGCAAGCACAAGGGCCTCAGTTCAATCCCCGGTTCTGCCAAACAAAAAACGAACAAACAAAAAAAAAACCCAACAACCCTAAACAAAACCCAGAAAAAGGTTTTTTTGGGGGCCGGGGAGATGGCTCAGTAGAATAGGGGCTTCAAGCGCTTCTTCTACTGAGTCATCTCCCCGGCCCCTCAAAACTTCGGAGTATTCATTTTTCTCTCCACATCGTCCCAGGTTTGGTCCAGGATGGGAGAGGAGAGGCACCGTGCGTGGTAATTTAATTGCATCGGAGTCACCCAAGTGACCCTAGGATGCCAGTGGTGCAGGAGGAGCCCTTTCATTTTATGTAGGCGAATCGGAAGCCCGAGTTGCCCAAGGCTCCTTCGTTAACAGCCGGGAATCAAACAGCCGCAATCCGGAGGAGACTTGTAAATCGGCCTAGATTCTTTTGAGTGGCCCACCCATTCTGATTAGTAAAATGGGTGGGGTGCTTTGTGGAGTCCTCCAAGGTTTCCCGCCACGCAAGCATAGAGACACCGTGGGAGCCAGCAGCGTTTCCCGTCCAAACCTTTCCAAGACGTGAGCCGCGCTCAGCAGCAGGCGGTTAGAAAGCAAAGTTTCTCGCTGACCGACCAGGGATTTTTTTCACTGTGCGGGGGTGCAGCCTGGCTGAGACAGAGTGTATGGCACTGTTCTTCAGGATGGGGAGCATTTATTGGGAGTACCCGCAAGCACTGAAAATGGCCACGACTGGCCTGGGAACCAAGGAGGGGGACTGCGGTGGCTTTTACAGTCCCAGCCCAGGAACAAAGCTGAGACCCGCCGGCGATTGGTTAGAGAGGGCGCGCCCGCAGGGGCGTGGCCCAGAGGGGTCGTGGCCCGCAGGGGGCGTGGCCCTCGAGGAGGCGGGGCCTGCCTGCCTGCGGCGGTCAGGTGACTTCGCCGCGGACTCCCGGCGCCCGAGCGGTGCTGAGGCGCTGAGGGCCGGTGGAGCGGGCGAAGTTGCGGTCGCGCGACCATGGGGGGCTTGAAGGACGAGCTGCTCAAGGCCATCTGGCACGCCTTCACCGCGCTCGATCTGGACCACAGCGGCAAGGTCTCCAAGTCCCAGCTCAAGGTGGGCGCCCCGCAGCCCCGACCCCCCGCCCGTCTCTCCGGGGCCGCGGGCCCGGGACCTCAGCGAGGGGCGGGCGGGGATCCGGCGGGTGCTGCTTCCTCCTGGCCTTGGGGCGTCCTCGGCCGCGTGAGCGGGGTGGGGGTCTGGGCAGGCCGGGTGGGTGCTGAGGGACGAGTCCGCCTTCGGGTGCCGCGAGGGGCCCCGAGTTTCGGACTCCGAGAAGGGGCAGGTAGCGCCCGGCCTTCCAGGATTTTCCCCGTGTCAGAGGAAGGCCCTCGCTGGCGGTCCCCGGGCAGAGCCACCTGCTGCCCCCATCCCCACACCCGGGGAGCAGAGGGGAGGGGAGGGCGGGACGCCCCCGTGCGGCCGGTCTGCGGCCCGTCTTCGGCCCGTGGGGACCTGGGATCTCGGACCTGGGCCCCCGCGCCGTCCGGGGACCTCGGGTCTGGACATGTAAGCCAGGACCTTGGTTCCGGGTGAGGGGCGCTGACGTTTGTAGGACCCCGCAAAAACAAGTGATTTTGAGTGGTTATTTTATTGCGGCTGCCCGAGACCCAGCCATGGAATCCGAGCGTAACGTATACATAAAGGAGTACTTGTAGCCTTCTAGAAGAAGCCCAAGCGAGGAAAGTGGCGCCCAGCCACGAGAAATTGGCAGCTTCTTGAAAGTATTAAAATATGGAACCAGACAAGAAGAGTCATTCACGGGCATTTTCAAAAATACACATTTTGGATCTGAATGACTGGTTTTCTTAGCCTCTTCTGGGAATGCATTTGTAAAGATTGGGGTTTCTTTGTATATTTTGTGCAGTAATCAGGAAGTTCTTTTGAGTAGTGGCATTTATGCCTGTAGGACCTGGCATTCTTTGGCTTTCCTTTTGTTTACCACCTTTTTCCTCTTAGAGTCAGTCTGGAAAGGTCGATAGAAACCACCTACGTATTTTAAATTTTACTTTTGATTTAAAATATAGCATACTGTTCTACAAGTTTTAACACAGGTGCAATTTTTCTTTTCTTTTTTTTCTTGAGACAGTCTCACTATGTAGTCTAGACTAGCCTTGAGCTGATTTTGTTGCCCAGGCTGGCCTCGAATGCTCAGTGGTCCTCCTGCCTCAGCCTTCTGAGTGGTGGAGTTACTTACCACCATGCTTGGCAGATTTTCACACTTTCTAGCCAGTGTTCATTTTTTTTTCTCCCCGGAACCGGGGATTGAGTTTAGGTTCTTGTGCTTGCCAGGGAAGCGCTTATTTTACTCAGCCATCTCCTGCCCCCCCCCCTTTTCAGTTGATGACATAAATGAGATGTTTCTCTGTTGCTTTTGTTGTACTCCATTTCAAATTGTCTTAATGGGGGCTGGTGAGATGGCTCAGTGGTCTAAAGCACCTACTTAGAACAAGCTTAGCAAAGCACAGGGACAGCGGTTCAATCCCCCCAGCACCACATGCCAGCCAGCCCCGCCCCCTGGTGGGCTGAGCTGGCCACACACACATAAATAAATAAAATTAAAAAAAAAAATTGTCTTTATGGCTATTTAGAAGAAAAATGCCCAGGTGCCTGAGAGAACTTTTTTTTTTGAGACCTATTCTTATTGGACTGAGCAGCCTGCCTTAAACTATTGGGCTGAAGTGATCCTCCTGACTCTGCTTCCCATGTATTTGAGACAACAGGCATGAATTACCAAACTGGTACCTGCTGGATTTTATATAGCAGGGTTGGCAGCAAGTGCAAGATCCCAATCCTAGTTTCCAATCATGAGATCATACTATAGAGATTTTAGGGTTAATGCAGTTAGGTTTATCTTGCCAGTGTTTATGGAATTGAAAATACTTTAAAAAATTTGAGTTTCTTTTTGGTGTTTTAACTCTGAACCTCAATGTTCCCTTGCTAACAAAAGAATTTTTGCCTTAATTTGTTGATTCACTCAGACAATATATCTTTTGTGTTTTATTTTTATTTTGAGAGAGTTTCTTACTAAATTGCTAAATTGTCCAGGCTGGGCTCTAACTTGTTTTCCTCCTGCTTTTGCCTCCCCAAATGCTAGCTGTGTGTCCCACTATGTCTGGTTTACTATGCTAATTTAATAAAAAGGCTATTACTTTTAGCCTATAAGAATTAATAGCTTCTTAGAAAAAAATATCATGTAATTAGTTTTTTTTTTTTTTTTTGTACTGTTAATCCAACACAGGACATCGTGCTTGCCAGGCAGGCGCTTATGCCACTGAGCTATCTTTCTAGCTCCAATATATAGTTAATTTTTACTCTTTCATTATTTATGTTTAATTTAATTGTATGTATTTGGTACAGGGTCTCACTGCACAGCTCGGACTCGTAATGAGCTCCAGTTTCAGCCTCTCCAGCACTGAGATTACAGGCTTGCATTCCCACGCTGGGTGTTGGTGGTTAGCGCAACATGCCCGGGGCAGGGCCTGCACAGCATGTAGTACTGGGGATCGAACTCAGGTCCTTGAGCTTGCCTAAGCAAGCACTTAGACCTCTGAGCTGTCTCTGCAGCCTTATAATTGATTTTTAAATAGCAGTATTCTAAAATATTTTTGACACCCTTTTAAATTACCATCGCAATTTTTTTGCCTTACACTGGGGATTGATCCTAAGGGAGTGCTAAACCATGTCCCCAGACCTTTTTAAAATTTTACTTTGAAGGACTGGGGAGGTAGCTCAGTTGAATAAGCACTTGCCTGGCAAGTGCAAGGGCTTGAGTTCAATCCCTAGTTCTGCAAAAAAAAAAAATTTTTTTTTTTTTTTTTTACTTTGAAGGGAAGTGCTTATTCCACTGAGCCATCTCTCTGGCCCCATTTTTTTTTTTTTTGGGGGTGGAACTGGGGATTGAACTCAGGGCCTTGCCCTTGCAGGGAAGCTTTTTTACTTTGAGAGCGCGATTGCTACGCTGCCCAGGCTGGCATAGAGTTTGTAGCTGGGATTATGGGCTTGTGTCACCATCTGCACAGAATAGTGGATATTTCGTGTGTTGATGCCGTACTCAGTACTAAAGGTGATGAGGTAGCATGAAACAGGAATCATTGCCTTCAAGGAGTTTAAATTTTATGAGGGAAATCAGGAGAATAAACCACTAGAGAATGTATTTTCTTTATAGATGTAAGTTGTATATCTTTGTTCTATCCTTTAAAAAAGTGAAGTCTGGTAGTAAAGATAAGAAATGCAGAAATACTGTTGGATAGAAGGCACTGAGTGTGACAGATATGGGGCCATGAGATTTTAGAGGAAAAGGTGATTACTTCTCACTGGTGGGATTACTTCCTGAGAAAAGCATCTTTGACGTAAACTCTGATGAAATAAGGAAGTGATCACAATTTATAATGGAGGTTAGCCCCATTCTACTAATTCATTCAAAGGCTGGGGATATAGCTGAGCAGCCAGTGCCTGCCTGGCAAGTTCAAGGTCCTGAGTTCAATTCTCAGTATAAAAGAATGCTCTCCCCTAATTCATTCAAGTGATAAATTTCCTGACTGTTGTTAGTTCTGGGAAGCCCTGTGAACTTGCAAGAGGCAAGGCTTAATTCTCATTTATGGTGACTGCTACGGTAACTATTTTGGTTGTTGTTTCATACATCCACAGGACACATGCCTTTGTGCCCTGTGCATGTATGAAAGAGTGGGTACTGATGATAGAGCTGTAGGAATGGATTGGGTTTAATGCTGGAAGGAAGGTTTGGATTGCCAGGCAGCTACGTAGATGACTGGGACTCTTTAAGTTTTCTGAGAGTGATGACTGGTGAAAATGGAGCTTTAGCAAGTTATTGGGAGGTGTGTGTGTGTAGGCGGGGATTGGGCATTTGGGATTTAGGAAGCCAGGTGAGAGAGGTGGCCAGGGAGAGAGGCAGGAAGGTGGATAAGGGCGTAGTTGTGGCTTAGGAGATAGCTTTTAGACTGTTGTTGTGGTACCTACCTGTAATCTTAGCACTTGGGGGAGGTTGAGGCAGGAGAATTGTCATGAGTTTAAGGGTCTCCTGGACTACATAGTGAGAGCCTGTCTTCAAAAAACAAAGCAAAGCAAAGCAAAACAAACAAACAAAAAAGGACAGACTTAGATTTTTCTTTGGGCTGGCTCAGGCTGCCTTAAGGGTGGATCTGGTAAGGCATGGGGAGCTGGGGATCGAACCTTGGTCCCCTGCGCCTGACTGCGTTTGCCTGCAGCAGGCACTTAAACAACTGAGCAAACCCATAAGCCCCCCAAAGACGGACTTAGACATGTGATCAGTTTCAGCTTGGTTGACCAGATGAGTAATAGTGGCTTTTAGGAGATGTTGGGAAGTTGGGAAAAGGAGTTATTTAGAGAGGAAGTGATACACTTAGTGTGGGATGTGGAGAGGTTTTTTTTTCTTTTTTCTTTTTAGGTCCTTGATAGGTGGATGTTTAGCTGGAGATCATGTCTTGGGAAGTGGGGCACAGAATCTGGTAGTTGAAGCTTGAGCAAAGGAGAGAAGAAAGCTCCTAACAGTTTTTGGGGCTGGTTAGGGTGGAAGAGGAGAGAAAGGAAAGAAGCCAGGGTTCAGAAATTAGGGATAGAAACACTTTGGAGCAACACGAACTGAGGAAGAAAGAGTTTCAGGGAAAACATGGCCTGTTATTTTTGAGAGAAGATTTATTATTGACAGGTGAGCACGTATTGCTATATGTACCTGTTTTGGAGATTATAAAGTACTAAGATTGATTACTCCTTCTGCAGGCTGTAAACTACTTCTCTAAAAAGCAGTTTTGGGGCTAGGGAGATAGCTCAGTAGGATAAGCGCTTGCCTGGTAAGCGGCAAGGGCCTGAGTTCAATCCCTTGTTCCGCAAAAAAAAAAAAAAAGCAGTTTTGAGTCCTGGCATCATCTTGGGAATAAATAAATATTTTTTCCTTTAGTGCCCCCGGTATGCAAAGTTTATATTTTATGCTTTTTTTTTTTTTTTTTTTTGGTAGTACCAGAGATTGAACTCAGAACCTTGCATTTGCCAGGCAAGGCACTTATTCCACAGAGTTC